GCCCCCGGGCCCTGGCCCCCCCAGCCCGACCCGGGAGCCTGCCCGCCGAGCCCCTCGGAAGGGGAGCTCCAGCCCTGCCTCAGCCCGGCCCAGTGAGCCCAAGGAGACCACCGGGGCTGGGCTCTGGGTACAAGATGGCTCTGAAGATGAGCCCCCCAAGGACTCAGACGGAGAGGACCCCGAGATGGTGGCTGTTGGGGGCCGGGGCCCTACCCCCGGTCAAGCCCCAACTGGAGGGGCCAGCTCAGAGGGGAAGGGGCTTGTCTCAGGGTCCATGCTGCCCCCTCCACTGCCCCTGGGCTTGCCCTACATCAGCCCCTACTTCCACACAGGTGGGCACCCCCAATGCTTTAGATCCCTCCAAGGGGTGGAAGGAGACCCATCCCCCCATTTCCCCTTAGGGCGTCCAGGGGGAGAAAAGTCCCATTTAGTCATGGACCCAACATCTCCGAACGAGGGCAAAGGTCAGAAGACGGGTGGGAGCCTAGGAAGGAGGCAGCCTAGTAACACCCCCTTCCAACTCAGGCGCCATGGGGGGACTCTTCACGGATGGGGAGGAGACCACAGCCCCTGAGGATGTCAGCAAGTGGACAGTGGAGGATGTCTGCAGCTTTGTGGGGGGCCTAGCTGGCTGTGGAGAATACGCACCGGTGAGGGGGGCACCAGCTCCCAGTCCCCCAGTGCCTCTCCTCACCCCAATTACCCTCCTCAAAGGGTATTGGGACACACACACACACCAGTGCATGCTCCCCACCCCCACCCGCAGTGCTCTGCCTTCAACACTGGCACACGCCCAACAGGATTTTCTCTCACTTGAACCCTTTCCCTACAAGCTGCAGCCAGAGCTCCTCTTGGGTCTGCTCTCTCTGGAGAGCCTGAGCCACCCACACAGCCCTGGCTGGGCTGAGGGACTCTGCAGGGTGGGCAGTTTCCACACTCAGGCACTGACAGGCTCCCTGTCCCACACCAGATCTTCAGAGAACAGGGGATCGATGGGGAGACCCTGCCCCTGCTGACTGAGGAGCACCTCCTGACCACCATGGGGCTGAAGCTAGGGCCTGCTCTCAAGATTCGGGCACAGGTGAGTGCCAGCTGGGGCAGTGGTCTCCACCTAGTGGAGGAGCAACACTGAGGCCCTTCCTGGCTGCAGACCCCCACCCAGGCCTGTCTCTCCACAGGTGGCCAAGCGCCTGGGCCGAGTCTTCTACATGGCCAGCTTCCCTGTGGCTTTGCCCCTGCAGCCACCAACGTTGTCGGCCCCTGAGCGGGAGCTCACCTCAGGAGAGCAGCCCCCGTCCCCAGCAATGGCTCCCTCGCCCTATGGGGGACAACCCACTGCTGGCCGAGCCTCACCCAAGCAAGAGAACGGGACCATGGCTCTGCTCCCAGGGCCTTCAGACCCCTCCCAGCCTCTGTGCTGAGGTCTGGCCCCTAGCCCCTTAGTGCAGCCGCTGCAATGCAAAGGCTCCTCCCCCACAGCTTGTTTTCCTTTGGTCTTGGAAGCAAACACACACAAAGAACTTTTAAAAGAAAAACATTTGACTTAAGAGAAAAGGAACGTGTTTCCAAAGACCTGGGGGATGACGGTAGAGCCTGGTGTACATGGCCTGGGGATCCGAACCTGGGCACTGCAGACAAACCAAAGACAAGCAGTTCGCTGGCCCTGGCTGTGCCTCTGGCTCCCTCTGGAACTGAGACTGCTGTGAGATTTTCAGCTTCCCTCACAGGGACCCGCCACCCTGGGGTGCAGCAGTGGGCAGGCTCCACGGTGCAGGCAGTCCCAAAGGCTCCCTCTCCAGCGATCAGCACAGCGATTGGTACTTTCTGGTCTTTTATGTTGTAAAAATAAAGCCCCATCCACCATCTACTGTCCTTTCCCCATATGGGTGCTGACCCCAGGGCCTCTGGGCAGCTGCAGGCCCCAGGCCGACTGCTGGCGAGATGGGGATGCTGCAGGCAACCCTGCAGCCCCGGCAGTTGGTCCTCAGTCCTCCTCAGAGAGTTGTAGATCCTCCAGCTCATCCTCTGGCCCCTGGGCCAGCAGCCGCCACAGCTCCTGAGGGGCTGGGCCTGCCTCTGCATCTGGGCCTCCATCTGCAGGGAGACACCAAGGCTCCATAAATTCTGCTCTATCAGGAAGAGGCCAGCCTTGGGGGTTACTCATCACTAATTAGTCACAGCACTAATTAATTTACTGGTGCCCTGCTGCTGGCTGCCACAGCCAGCAGGAATAGAGCAGCCGGTCTGATACCCCCAGGGAGAACTTGGGTGGCAACACACAAGCTGAAAGGGCACAGCACCCTCACCCCAGGAAGCACTCACCCTCTGAGGTGCTCACTTCCTCATGGCCGCTGCTGCTGCTGTCATCCTCACCCTCCTCCTCTACCCTCTGCCCGGCTTCAGGGGACCTAGGTGTACCTGGGACCAAGGGAAAGAGCCCATGGAAATGGCCCACCAGCAAATGCACAGGGGGGAACAGCTGGGTTCACAGCCCTGTACCCACCCTCCCCTTGAAGATTCAGAACTGCCCCAGAAAGTAGCAGGGGGAGGGACAAGCCCTGGGGACACACGTTCCGATTCCAGGAGATCCCATCTCAAAGAAAGCAAAGTGGTGAAGGAGCAGAGGGGACCCCGCCCATGGGAGCTGAGGTGACAGTGGGCACCCCTCCTCGGGCTACTGGAGGTGCTAGGGACACCTTCCAGGCCTGCCTCCCCGTCCCCCAAGGGCTTGAGCTGGTCCAGGCAGGCCCACCTCTCTCCAAGAAATCCACAGCACTGTCCTCATCACTGTCCAGGCCAAAGAGGCCCTTGAGTTCTGTCCTGTCTTCCTCCTTCCTGTCCCCCAGCTTCCGCCGCTTTATCTCGGGGAAGTTCAAGTCTTCGAGCTGAAAGGCCCCAGAACAAGAAAAGAAGGTGAGGGAGTGCAAGGAGCCCTGAGTGCCCACCCCAGCCACACAGCCCCAGCCACGGCAGTGACACCAGCAAGAACCCTCATTACCAAAGTCAGGGTCCACCTAGACACATCCCTCAGAGCAGCTACAGCCCCAGCCGCCCTTGCAGATGTCATCCCCAGCAGCCCCCATCCCATCCTGTCTTAAAGTCACAACCAGGGTGCTAGGTCCTCGCCTCAGAGTGATCCAGCCTGGGGTGCCCAAGCCCCAGCATCTCCCAGCCCATACCCTCTCCTTGCCACTGATTTCCAGCTGGATCTCACGGTCCCTCAGTTTCCGCCACTGGCTGTAGTACTTGGTGAGTGGAGTCCCCTCCTCTCGGGTCTGCTTCTCCCAATCATCCTGTAGGGAGAGGTTTGGGGTCATGTCCCACCCTGGGCGAAACCCCAAACCCCAGCCACACACTGACTGGTGCCCTCCCCACTGACCACTGCCTGCCGGTTGGCCACGCTGAAGGAGGCTCTCTGGCGGAGGCTGCAGATGTGGCCTGAGTTCTCCTGCACCTTCTCCAGCAGCTGGCGCATCTGCCGGCAGTAGTTGGCCACCTTGCACTCTCGGAGGAAGGACTTTAGCTGCAGAAGGAAGAGAAGCTCAGCCAGCTCCACATAGGGCTGCTCTGCATGCAGCCATGGGCCCACACTCCACACGTGCTGACCAAAGAGGTGGGGGTGGGGGGATGCGGAGCCCAGGGGCAAATGCCTATGTGGTGGGGCTGGGTGAGACCCAGGGCCTGGCCCCTCAGATCTCCCCTACAGCAACCTAAACTGGCCCAGCCACTCACTCATTTACACATTTCTGTAGGTTTTTTACTTGGATAGGAGAATTAAGCAGTTGTGGCAACCACAGGACTGCGAAGCCTAAAATACCACCTGGCTCTTTACCAAAAAAAATGGCTGATCCCTGAGGCTTCAAGCCCAGAAACAGAGCCTTGCACACCCACATGTGTCTAGACGGGCCTTTGAGCCAGGTGCAGCTGGGTGTGAGCAGCCCCACCCCCGGGGGCCATGCAGAGACGGGCAGTACCCCATCCCATGAGGCACAGGCCTCCCTGAAACGGGGAACATCTAGCCTAAAAACAAATGGACCCCCATGGGGACCCAATGGGCTTCCCAGAGGGAAGACGCCCACCCTGCTCCCAGTATGGCCTGAAGGAAAACTGAGGCAGCTAGAAGCTGCCCTACCTTTGCACCACACCCAGGACTACCTGGGGAGGCAGGTGAGACCAGACCATTCAGTCCCAGCTCCCCCAGGAAAGACTTATGGCAGTCTGGTCCTTGGGCTGCAGCAGGCCTTGGGGTCCTCATGGAGTCACCCAGGTCACCCCTCCCTCCATGTGCAGACCCCACACCACAGCCCCAGGACGGGGCCAGGCTCCACCACTGGTCTGTGGCTGAGACAGAGATAGGCTGCCTTCCTCTGGGCCCTGTCTAAATGGGGAGCTGAGTCCATTAAAACAGTTTAGTCAGCCTTACAACAGGCCACAGAGGGATCTGGGCAGGGGTCGGGGAGCTGAGCAGCAGGAACACACCTGCAGGATGGCAGGCAGCGCCAGTTCAGGGAACGCGATGCTGTGGGCCTGACTGTGCAGGTACTCGAGGGTGAGGTCATACAGCTGCTCCACCAGGCCATCCTGAAGCAGCAATGGGGAGGAGAGCATCAGTCAGGGCATGGGCAAGGCAGGGGAAGGGGTGTGTGTGGGGGGGGTAATGGGTACTCAGGCTGACAGGTCAGCTCACTCTCCAGGGTGGGGAGGGAGGTCAGGATCCCACAGCCACACTCAGGCTTACTGGGGCTGGGGCCAACGAGTGTCTGCTCCCTGACCCTGGGAGCGCACGAGGGTCCACACTTAAACTCCACAGGGCAGCGAGCCCCTCCTATCCACACTCATCTTGCCTCCTCAGTCACCCTGCATGCTGACTTCAGTGTCCTCTGACATCCCGTTGTGATCCCAGTCTCACCCGGTAAGCCTTCTCCTGAAGGTTGACCTTGGACAGCTTCAGGATCACAGCAAAGTTGATGGGCTTGGAGCTCATGCGCCCTGGCTTCCTGTTGAAGTCAACCTGCTGGAAAACCTGCATGGCCAACAACTACATCAGCGACTCTGGCGCCAGCACCCCACTGCACACACCCCACCTGCACCTGGGTCCTTGAAGACCCATCACAAGAGCTGGGATAAGGGGCCAGAGGCAGTGTCAGACCCGCAGCACCACAGACACCCCAGCCCCAAGAGTCTGCTCGCCTTCCAGAGCTCTTCCAAGGGAGCCCCTTCATCCTAGAGTGGGAACCTCGCCAATGGGCAGTACCAGGAGTGCAAGCGCGCGCACACACACGCGCACACACTCTGCTACTGAACACCTCCTACAACCCAGCCAGAGAGCCATAGGACCAGTGTCCAAAGACAAAGGAGTCCCTCCTGTGCAGGACAATGCCACTACACTACCCTCACCCACGATCGAGGCCCCAAGGGCTGCATCCCCAGGAGTCACACACCAAGGGACACAAAGTCTCAAAGGAGGAGCTGGGTGGCTCCACTCCTATGTCCTCTACAGAAACGGCAGACTGTGCACATCTGCGTTGTCTTTGGCCTCTAGGAGAAGTCCTCCTCCCAGTCTGGAGGCTAAAGGCTGCCAGGGAACTGATTAAGTGCCTGGCCTCTCAGCTGGGCACCTCTCCCCATGACCCTCGTAAAGGGTGATCAGGATGAGTTCCTGAGGGGGATGTGTGGCTGAGGCTGGGGGAGCCTAACCAGAGAAGGCACCCACCACAGAGCTGAGCTCAGGTCAGTTCCAGATGAAAAGCAGCCTTGATGGTGGTGACACAAGTGGTCCCTGGGAGGGCAGGGCCTGAGGGGGGTCTGACCTCCCACACAGGGCTGCTCTCAACCCCCTTTCCCACAACCCAAGGAGGGAAGGGGTGGGGCTCCCCAGAGGCAGAGAGCTCAGATTCTGCCTTTGTGGGCTATTTTCTCTAGAGAGGAGACACCTGCACCCCTGGGTGAGAGGGATGTGCGAGATGCAGCTGCGGCCGGGGTCAGTGCAAAAGTGAAGGGAGAGGACAAGTGAGGGAGGGCTGAGGGCAGAGGGGATGGAGACAGATACCAAGAGCTGGCTGGCAGGGGGGGGCTCCAAGCATGGACACCAGGACTGGGTGGGGGGTCATTCTATGAACAGGAATCTGCACTGTCCCTGCGTCAGGGCATTGAGTAAGGTTCCTGAGGCTCCTTCCTTGCCCATCCTGCTCCCGGGCGACTACAAACCTGACCTCTGTATTCCCGACACACAACTCTGTGCTGTCTGGTGGATGATGGGTTGTAAATTTCTGAGTATTTCCTGGGTTGGGGCCTAACCACTAGTGGGTTTCTGGGCTTTCCCCACCTGAGCTTATATGAGCATGCAGACATGCAGATGCACACACATGTGCACACATGCAGACATGCAGAAGGCAGATGCACCCTTATAGTCAGACCTGGGTTTCTGGCTTGGATCTCCGGTTCACCCTTATCTTGGGTAAATGCCTAGAACCACCCAGGTATGAGCCCTAAAACTAGCACCCTCAGGCCCACCCCATGAGGCAGCTTCCTTGTCCTCACTGCTGCTCTTGCAACTAACATGTGCCACCAGCCTGGGTGGGTACAAGGTGCCAAGTACAGCAATGCCCTCACAACACCTGTACTCTGCAGGTGAGGGCCCCACCCGCTCACCTCCCTGCTCACCTCGAGGATGAAGGGCAGCACGGGGATGAAGGTGCCAGTGCCCTCGGAGAGCAGCATCAGGGCTCGCACACAGTGCATGCGCAGTGGGTAGAAGCGCGCAGTGGGGACCAGCCTAGGAGTAGGACGGGAGTGAGACAAGGCCTAGTCTCAGGGACCCCACAAACCTGCTTTACTCCCCTGGCTGCTGCCCTGTCGCTTCCCATGGAGCCCCAACTTCAGGAGGGGCCCTCCTTATTCCCTCTCTCGGGGTCAGAGGCCACAGCTGCCCCACCAGATTCCTGACAGAGCAGGGCAGGACACAGGCCTCAGGACATGCCTCCTTGCTCAGTTAGGAGCTGGGGGGACACCAACCAGGGTAACTTTGTTTCATTTTAATGTGTGTGTAGGGATCGTTCATTCAAGCCTCTGTCCCAGCTCTCAGCTCCCACTTCAGGAAGACAGAGCTGCCCCCTCCTGGCCAATGGCCACCAGGCCATGTGCAGCTCCTCCTCTCTGCAGAGACCCAGGTGGAACACTCACACCCAGGATCCCACACCAGACCCAGCTGGCTCTGTCCAAGAGCTCCATGCAAATAAACCCAAATTCCCTTCAAACCACACACAGGCCCTCTACCCAATGTCCGCAGAATGCACACCTGTGCTGCATCCTTGACGAAGGTGAGGGTGAGGAGCTCACATCACAGGCCACCCAGAACCCAGCTGCCCAAGCCTGGGTGTTCTCCCACACAGGGCATAGGCCAGAAAGCTCCACCCCAGTCCTTCCACAGGTGTCACCAAGCCACAGACTCCAGACCCTCCTTGGAGGCCCTGGCCACCTGGAAAAGGAGCCCCTCTGGGCCCTCCAGGACACCTCTATAACCCTGCCCCTGCCCTGACCTCCAGCCCTCAGGGCCGCCTGCCCGCCCTGACTCACTTGATGCAGCCCAAGATGACCTGGGCAAGGGGGTAGATCAAGGGCTGTAGGGTGTCGCTGGGGCAGATGGTGCTGAGGACACGGCACCATAGCTGCAGGCAGTGCACGAACTGCCAGTTGTACACAGACTGGTGTGTCTCCTGCAGAGAGACCCACCCGGCTCAGCCCAGAGTCCCCAGAAGGCCCAGCCCCTTCTCACCCACCATATGGAGGGTCCCAGCAGGCAGCAGCACTGGGCCCCTCCCAACCCCCCAGCAAGGACCCTGAGCTGGGTCAGGCTTCTGGGTGCTCAGTACCCTAGCCCAGCCACACACCTTCTTGCGTGTCGTCATGGCGTTGCGCAGGTGGATGGCAAGCTGGCGGATGTAGAGGAAGGCGTGCTGGTAGGCGATGCTGGTGTCCAGGGCCAGCAGCTCAGTCAGGGTCCGCTGCATGAAGCTGATGAGGGGCAGGGTGCTGGGGGAGGTGAACCTGCAGTTCCTCACGTACGTGATGTACATTTGCTGCCAGAAGATCAGCCACAGCCACCTGAGCTCCCAGGGTCCTGAGGCCCCTCCTCCAGACACCTGGGCCTGTCTCTCGGAGCTGCTGCCTCTTAGAACCACAGCCTGGCGATGTCTGCTGCAGACCCCTCCCCCCGTGGCCCCTGCTGCTGCTCAGTCCCCACAAGGGTATGCCCACCAACGTGGGCACAGAGTCTGCAGTCAGAGGAAGGGCTCTTATAGGGAGGGCCCAGTACCAGGGGAGGGTGAGCTCCAGCATGAACAAGTTTGGGAACCAGCAAGGGGACCACGGAGGGACTGAGAGGGAGGAGCACCTGCTGCCAAACATATACAGGGGGTTCTGGAGGGTCCCCATGCAGGCAAGCCACCTGTGGTTTAGAACTGGGCACCAGGGTCCCTGTCCCTCTCCACACCCGATGTCCTTGTCCAATGAGGGGACAGCTCCACATTGCAGTCACACAGAGCCCGGGGGGGG